AGATGGGATAGGCTGTATATTGGGGTAGTTATAAAAACAATATCTTAAGTAGGACAAAAAAAATAAAAGCTGGATTAGCTTCCTCAGTATATCCTGATAAACAATTTTTAATAAGCATGATAATGCAAAAACTACATGACGCAAAAGCAACAAAAAGAGTATGAAGGAAACCTGTGTTCCGTAGCAGGAATGCTGAATCCAGCCATATTACAGTTATAGTATCGCTTGGCAAATAAAAGGGCTGCCATCGTATCAGTACTACGAAAGCAAACTAAGTGCGCCGTTCCACCGATCGATGCAGACTAAAAAATAGAAGAAATTAGTAGAGCGCTTCCTCCAACTAATAACTTTTGGGAATATGAAAAGATGGGCTCAGTAAACAAGAACAGTGACAGCACGCACCTCAATGGAGGATACACCGCGAAAACCAAAATCGTGCATCAGCATTGGAAGCGGAGACAAATCATCAGATGTCTCCTGTAAGTACTTAAAAATTATTTTCTTGAACTCGAGAGAATTTGTCGCTACTGTGAGTGGATACCAAACTTGGACGAGTACTGTCTTAAAGATCAAATTAGCAAAACTAAAAAGTTACCTCAAGGTAATTAGTAAGCCAAAAACAGTTTGGATCCGTATTTTCCACAGTAAACAAAACATTCCTCACGGGAATAACTGTACCCTCAGGAACAGCCTTAATGCGAATTGGTAGACGCCCGTTGTGTTTCTGAGAAAGATAGTTGAGGTATTAGATCAAAGTACCTCTAGTATGTAACGCCACCCATCTTCGTTCATCAAATCTCTCCCAAAGTGTTCACGCATCATTTCTTTAGCTTCGCGAATTTTCCTCTCGGTGACCACAGAGCCAACAAGGTACTTCTTCAAAATGTACTGCAATCCAAAGAATACGGTCTCAGAAAACTTCCCGCCACGGCTTTCGAAATACGAATATACTTCTGTCGTACCCGGAGGATACTGGACATAATGCGAAACCTGAAATGCTTGTCAAGCGACATAGCAACTCACCTTGTATGAGTCACTTAAGCAAATGATGTTCGCCTGGTCGGAAGAGTAATCGCCCGACTCGTATCCATTCAGGAACGATTCCGACATCGTCCAATATCCTTCAAAATTCTGACACCTAAACAATTTTTTTCTGACTGGGTCGAAACAAGCGCCTGCTTAAGAGCCTTACATCGCCCAATAAAAATTGAGGTTAGCAACTTGTGGTGTTATAAACAAATAAAAGTACAAAGTACAACGGTGCTTGGAAAAAATGAGCAAGTTGACTGGACCAAAACGCAATTCTTTGGCAAAAAAGAAATTTTGTAGCTAAAAAAATTAAATGCTACAGAAAAATTATTCATTTTTAATCTCGATCACGAAATTTTTGAATTCCAAAGTAAAACTAAATACGGGAAAGAATATGCTTTATTAGATTTTATTTAAAAATGTGATTTATGAAGAGTACAGAATTACCAACTTATTGCCGCCTGTACTTTGCTTGTTCTTTGCACGTCTGCTCACATGTGGGCTCCATCGTTGGAGAGGCCAGCTGAGCTTTTGGCTTTGATACATTGGTTATGTTACAACCTGACGTTTGGTGGTGACCGTGAGATTTGTCTAACCCTTGTACGTGTGAGCTCGCCTTTGAGCCATGCTCAGACTCAGTCGCTTTGTTCTCTTTGGAATATATTTATCGAGATTCACTTACTGATTCTTCCACCCGGTGGGAAGTCCCAGGAAGTTTCAATGACTTTTCTGATTGCTAGAAGACAAAGCTTGCACTGTCTTGCATGCAAATAATATTTTATTCTGCACCTAAAGAAGTCTTCAGGTGTTAAAACTAGATTGTAAGAGTTGTCATAGTAGCACCACAAGACTTCCTTCAGTTAAAAGAGGGTATCACGTTTCACAGAATGCATGTAGTCTTAGAGAAGACGAAGGGGTAGGGCCTTGGCATAGCCCGAAGACCAGCAGACGCGTGCAATGACAAACGAATAGCACTATAAACACTAGATATTATGTGGTCACATGAACCAAGTTTTGCGTTGCCACTTTCGCCTTTAGAGTGACGTTTTCGACGCAGCCCCAAATACACCCACCGCTAGCCGCTCTTGTCATCAGCCAACATGAGGCTGGCGACAGTATTTATTCGTCGTTCTGCAGCTTCAATTTGACCTCTAGTCGGTTTCAGTCCGAAACCAGGAATTATAACAAGAAATTTCTGTTAACTAACACTATTGTCCATGACTAGACTCTGGAACACTGATCGAAAACAGATTATAACGGGGAAGCAAGACCAATCACAGTTCCGTATGGGAAGGGTTTGCCGTATTATCACCTTTCGACGTCTACACTGGGACACTACAAAAAGATTTGCGATGCGAAACAATTTAAGATAATTCACGTAAAACACGTAAGCAAAGTGATTTAGACGATATAATTTTTGACTCCCGTGCTCTAATAGATACATGTAAAAACGGCGAATACAAACAGACGCGTCGTTACAAGAAGTCGAGTTTGTTTTACTCTGCCACACAAACAAAGCGTTACATTTCATCATGCGAGCCATATTGGCAAACACGGACTACCACTCATCTGTGTTGTAG